TGCCTCTAACCCTTTGACTACAACAGACCTATATATTTATATATATCTTCACAAGTCTATTGTATATGACAGACGTAAGTATAAAAGCCACCATAGGAGGTATCCAGTCGCAGCCACGGATATACGAATATAGCATCGCTGTCACAGAGTTAATATGCTTAATGGCTTTTTTATTCTATTAAATAAAAATTCTGAATTATAGATAGGATAAACGATTATAGAATAATTTTATAAAATATAGAGGATAAATATGTAACATACAGATAAGATTGTACTGTGTATATGTATGTATTGAAATAGATATATAATATGTAGAGGAGGTTCTATTCATTCTTAACTGATACAGTGACGTTTTCAAATGATGTGAGTATAGCCTTCATGTCCAGGAAACGATGTTCAATGTGCTAATCAGACTCCAGACAGCCATGAGATACTAGGAAGTAGCAACTTATTTATTCGAGGACCCAATTGGGTCAAAGATACTGTTTTCGTTTTTCGTTAACATTCATTATCAGACCCAGAATACTTCCATTCCATTATCTATTAGACTATTTTGAATAAATTAAATCTCTGTACACAGTATCGAACACTTTTATCATCGCTATTTTTTTTACTTACAACTCTTGCTCGTGCTGTTTGTCATTTATTTTATTCAGACGTCCGCCGAATCATTCTGGAGACCGAAATATTCCAATTGTACTCGAGATCAATGCGCGTTGCTTAACCGAGCCCGTTGTACGTGAACGTGAAATGCAAATGAGCCACTTTTGTGAGACTTCGTGCGAGCCGGGTTCAACGCTCTCCCTTATTTATGCTTGTGAATGAAGAGCTACGCGCGAGAATGTTCGTGTCGAAGGTGAAACACGTTACTTTCCGCTTTACTTTTTTTTCTTACCGTATTTAAGTCCCGACCGAAGTGACACCGGAAACGATTCGCAAGTAAAAATATTCAGTGGTTACTATTGTTAAAATATTGGATTCCTGTTCAAATTTAACTTCAGTGAATAATTTTTAGATGTCACATACAAATACGAGTCTTATCTCAGTTTTCTAGAAACCATGTGTATTTACATTTATCATTTCTGATTAGAAAATATATTTGCGTTGAAATTCATGATATTAAAATAATAATTAGAACAGTTGATATAATTATAAGACACAATGTTATGAGTAGACTGCAAATTTTATGCAGTTATACAAATATTTCATATGTAATAAATATAACAAATGCATGCGATGTATAAGAATATTTATTATATATATGCAAAAGTGAATATAGTTATTTTTTAAAAAAGTTTTAATTTGATTATTATTCGATATTTCAATTTGATTATTTTAATCAATATTTCTATTTGATTATCTGAATTGATATGACGAAAGT